ATGCTATAGCATATTCTATAGGATTCTATAGAACATTTTCGTAAGGGATATATATATATATATATTATATATATATATATATATATATATTAATATATATATAATGTGAATAGCTTAATTATTTGAAACATTCAACATATTATTTACACTCTTGGGCTGGGAGACTTTGAGACCATTAACATAGGGACCAGCCTGGGTGGGAGAAGAAGGGAAATGTGGGGTAAATTTGTATTATATTGGGTGGGGTAAGATATGAGAAAGTGAAAGATGGGGCAAGAAAAAAAAATATAAATATTTTCTTCATAAAATTTTAAACCAAACATGAACTGTACAATCTAATAAGTCACTATCTATAAAGTGACTGCATGCATGGATGGTTTGCATTGATGCAACATACATGGCTCTTCCCCATATACAATCAGCATTCAAAGCTTATACAAATGTTATAATGCTTGTTGTAAATAAAACTTATAAAATTAAGGTAACTATTTCATTGCCTAGAAGTGGTGTAAACTTTTTTCAGCACAAAAAAGTGGGGTTGGAAAATTTGAGAATTAAAATATTTTCTCCGCAGCCCACTCCTGCCATAAAATAATGACTGGCTTTGTAAACACCAAAATTATATCACTTGGTGCCTTATATCAATTCTATTGCTTGGTTGTCATGCCCTACCATTTCAACCTAGCAGTAAAGAAACTTCAATTTGCTTCATTGAACCCTGTCATCTCAGTTCACATGCAGAGATTAATACACAATGATTATATATATATAATGGTTATATATTTGCAATCAAAGTGATATACAACCACTGTCAACCAGAACTTATTGTTACTATGTGATATTATTGTATGATTAATAATTAATACATACAAACATTCAGCAATGTCTAATACATAATTTCCATATTCTAATATACTGTAAATCAGTCATAAATAAAAAAAAACAACCAAATCACAAGACCTACACCCCAAGCTTTTTGTTGTTACTATCGCCAGCATAGCTTCTGGCATCAAAAATACCTTGTGTAAAGTGATGAGTCTATAAGGTGGGTAAATAGGTAGATTCTTTAAAACAGCTTGTGTGCATGTGATCTATGAGAGATGTTACTTGAAGATATAAATAAAAGTATTTAGCATATTTTATTACTCCCTTTGTCAAGAAGAAAGTAGTAATATTCACTTAAGGCTTAAATACTTTTATATTAGTATGCAAACGAGAAAACTACATATACCCACTTACACATGCCGATTGTTTTGTAAAGCATAAATATACATACACCACACTAGTTGTGTCTTGGCGCTTTGGCTTCAAACCGTCCCTATACATATTTTCAGCTGCTCTTAATTTTTTAACCAAGTGCCCCTGGATCGCCCTTGGGAGTGATCTTTAATAATTTTTCACTATATGTGTTGGCTTTGCGTTTCCTAGTAAATATACGCAATTTCCTATCATTTGCCCACTCAAATCACTCTGAAGTATGGTGAAACCCACCAATAGCTTTTTGTTGTTGTTTAATTAAACATACATGTAATAATTGTAATTGTATTGATATCGCTTGTTATTAGTTCAATTTAGTTGTTATTCTTGTGACGAACGGAATATTATGCGCACTGTACTCGCGTAGCTGCAAAAAACATATAAAAAGCGAAATAAATGTAATACCACATGTGTAATACTCTCCAATCTGTATTTTTTTTGCATTTATATTAACATTTTCTATTATATCGAACAATAATAGTGACAAAATATTTGAATATAAATAGTGACAAATACAATACTTCAATGCCTCTTGGGAAGTCGCAAAATTCGCCAAATTCAAAAAGAAGGTGACATGCACACAGAGCGATTAATGTTAACCACCAATCACTAATCTTTTCGAACTAGCTTCATTTTGTTTTGTAATTTCACTAAGTTTTTCAACGACCCTAAACCACATAAACGCAATAAACGCAAGATGAAAATAAACCGGAAGTTTTAATTAATAATTTCAAAGTTAATAATAGATTCCATGTAATACGGACGTGCTATTGGCTTGCTACCTTCGCTACCCAATTAGAGCTCTAACCAATAGAAAACAACCTTGTTCAAGCTGCTACATTACAGGAAATGTTGGCCTAGTGCACTAGAAGAGAGCCTAGTAGAATGCCCTTTCAAACGTACAGATAGGCACCTTTGCGTCATGCCAAACAAAATAAGACTACGTTTACACAGCTCCGGAGCGAGAAAGTGACGGCAGAATTTGACTGCGTTTACACTGCTCCGTTTGAATTCCGATACTGTTTCGTTAGCATTTACACATAAGCGTTCTTCGCTGTCAACATTCGTAAGTTGTTCGCAGGAAATTGCGCCATTTCTTTCTGAAACATTGCTTGACGTTTATATCTGTAGTCGTGGGTCGCAAAAAAAGTTAAAATAATACCGCCGATAGCGAGAGAGGTGCTTGTTGATAAATTTTTGGAGAATTGTTCGCTATATTGAATTACGGCAACAACGCGCCAGGCATTGTGGCGGAGTGGTATCTAAAGTGTAGCGGAATATTAACGGTGTAGTGTTTACACAACGCCATGTAGCGCTCCGTTTCCGTTCGACCACATTTAGAAAGTGTGGTCGTTTCGCTACGGCAAAGGTTACGTTTTCGAACAAATCTGCTCCGGTGCAGTGTAAACGCAAACCCGTTTTCATACTTTTTTGCACCGTTTTCAGACCAATTAGACTACGTTAACATTACTCCGGATCGGTCTGAAAACGGTGCAAAAAAGTATGAAAACGGGTTTGCGTTTACACTGCACCGGAGCGGATTTGTTCGAAAACGTCATCTTTGCCGTAGCGACACGACCACACTTTCTAAATGTGGTCGAACGAAAACGGAGCGCTACATGACGTTGTGTAAACACTACACCGTTAATATTCCGCCACACTTTAGATACCCCTCCGCTACAATGCGTGGCACGTTGTTGCTGTAATTCAATATAGCGAAATATCTCAGCACCTCTCTCGCTATCGGCGGTATTATTTTAGTGTAAACGTAGTCTTAGTGTCGTAAATAGTGACGATTTTAACTGTCGTCACTATTCAGCCAGCAAAGAAGGATGCTAATTCCGGTTGACAGTTTCTTCCATTTTCTAGCTGTAAAATTACTGCCTATTGATGAATAAAATTGGTGTAAAAATTTTTAATGAGAAATGTGAATATGGTGGTTTATATAATATTCGAGCGTCACTTTTCCACTATCGCATTTTGCTCCAAATACTCCCCAATTTTGTACAAATAAGAGGAAGAAAAATGAAATAAATTTTCAAAACTTGAAACGAAAGAGTTTGGGAAAAACTAAGTGACTTAGCTTTGTACTGCAAAGAATTGCCCAATAAGCCTCGTTTCTATTTTTGCGCGAAGGCGCGGTTACTATGTTTCGGAATCGATTCGCAAGATTTCATGTCGTATAATACCGACCTATATACAGACCATTTCAACAAAAAGCATCAATAAAGGTATAGCTCGCAGAAATTGCATGAATGGCATGGTGATATCTTAAATAATTTACTTTTATTTATAGACTTGAAAAACTTTGAAATAGTGTTGTTGACAGTGGTAGTTTTCCTCGCCGTGTTGATCATAACCGGGACGGTTATCATCTTTGTGTTGGTGAGTAATGTAGACACCAGACTAGAGCTGGAAGACATTGATTGTGTTTACATAGAAGATCTCGCTCTTGACTAGCTAACATGCAGACATGCAACCACGACAGAATTTGAAAGAAACTCTGACAGTCATCATGACATAAACCTCTTTTATTTATTGATATTTCAATCTCTTTCCAGTTACAAAAGACTTCAGGTCCCAGACCTAGATCATAAGAGTGAAAATCAAATACAAACTGGCAGTCAAGAAACGGTTAAAATATAGTTGATAGTTTGTCAAATATACATAATGATTTGATACTGCTTTTCGTAATTAAAGTGTGTGTTTTATGACGTTTTCACCTTATCAGAGATTCATGCAGGCACGGTTACAACAGTCTGGGCTGGAATACTGATTTAAAAAAATATTCCGAAGACTTCTAGGATATAGGCGTCCATTCACATTAGACCCAAAGCTGCAATTTCGTCGGATTCACTCGGGCTATTTGGCTATTTCCTGGCTAAAATAAGCAGCTCCGGCGTAGAAAAAATTGCAACCAAAGTTGCGCCAAAATTGGGCTTTGGATTTTTAAATTTCCAACACTCTACTGGGGACCATTTTCCCGCCAGGAACACCTCATACAACTGTTTTGTCTTGTTCATTTTGACAAATTAATGGTTCATTTCAAGCACGCTTCAAGCACGCTTTAAAGGAAGTAAAGAGATAATTAAAGTTTTAAGACCTTTCATGATAGCTATTTACGCATGCATGTTATATATTTATCAACATCCTGCTCCTTTTTTCCGCAATGAACGTGATGGGATATAGTTAACCAATAGTCAGCACAGAGAGAAGATCCTGGGTACGAGGTTGCATTGGACGCACTGGGTCTGAGCGAATCGAAGACTGGCCGTTAAATGATTAACCATTTATTTGCTAGCTCGAAATAACGTGGAAAAACTCGCAATTGCATCGTGTGTTGCAAAAAAAGGTTTATTGCATCCGACAAAATTGGATCGTGTGAAACGTTTACGATCTTGCTTTTAGAAGAAGGCAAGACGCTTCGTTATAATTATTCGAACTCACGGCAATAAACTATAAAATACTTGTTTTAGCGTCTGTTTACATCATCAAATGTAACCACAGTTACCCACCTTTAACCTTTTGCAATAATGCTATGATCTTTCTCCAATGAAAAATAGCATGGCGAGCTTTCCAGGAATATTTGCAAAGCCTTGTTTGAGAGGCAAGGACAAAGTAATGCCTAGGAACTCATTATGTATTTTGTGTGGTGTTTTTTTAATAAAATTGGATCATTTCTGCTTCCCCCCCCCTGTAGAGCCTTATGACGCCCGTCTTGAAAATATTTAACTTGCCCCCGCCCCGCTTCGTACAATTGAACTGAAGGTTGCGAACGTAAAGACATAGCAATGTTTAAATTGATCTGTATTGAACATTCATGACCTCCTGAGAATCTGTCAGACTTAATAAAAGTAAGTTAAACCATTCATATTAATGTAATCATTTCATGTTTAGATATAGCGATATACACGCATGCGACATAAACAAACATATAAGGCTCTCGTTTGACAGGCTGAATAAACCAGATGCATTTGAGGCAGTCGGTGTTAATCCTGGACAGAACTGCTAATAAAAGTTATCTAATCCTTCGATCAATGTTGAATATCTTATCGCGTTGGGTTTATGAACTCTTTGCACCAATGTCGAAGGGGTTTGGAAAGTGTAAACACTGGAGTCGAATTTAAAACAGTGTAATTACTGTTGACGAACATGAATTAGGGCCTGTTTACATGGAGCGAGTTATTCCGGGTAGGCGAGGTAGGCGAGATGCAGTTTTTACCTCGCCTAGCCGGGATAACTCGCTCCATGTAAACAAGCCTTAACTATGAGTAACAGGTGTTGTTGACGAACATGAATTACTGTGAATACGAGAGATTGAATATTGAAGGAGCGCTTGTATCTCAATCAAAATTTTAAATTATTAGATTTAGCCGCATAATCGAAGGAAAGACAGGAACTTCATCTTCAGATGAGATTTATTTGCGTTGTTTCATAACTGATCAGGCCCGTTATAAAATGACAAAAAACCCTAAAAATGTTGTATAATTTTTTGATTTATTTACTCGATGCTTCTATTTTTTTGCGAATTCAGACATGACGTCGATTTTCCTATCAAGACTTGTCAGACATTTGGTAATCCTCCTTTCGGCTATCAGTGAAGGATACGGTAATAACAACGTGCATATTTCCTTTCCTGTAAATATCTTAAATTCATTTAGTGTGGTTGGATCACGGCTGTCAAAAAAATTAGCGACGCGTCGTCTGTAGACTACGTTTACACTACTCCGGATGACCGGATCTGTCTGAAAACGGTGCAAAAAAGTATGAAAACGAGGTTGCGTTTACACTGCACTACTCCGGGGCGAAAAATTGACATTAGAATTAATTTTATATTCTGCCGCCACTTTTTCGCTCCGGAATAGTGTTAACGTATAGTCGATCTCGCCTCGATTTTGTTGTTTTTTCTTCTTTTTTTCGTCGTCGCAAGTCTGTAATGGCGCGAAGTATACTAGTATTTGAGATGTGTATGTCACCGTATATTTATCTACGTCCCAATCTTATAACCCAAGAGTTGTGGTGCACAGCTTTGGCTAATTTTCCGATGCGCGATTCGATTTCGCTCGAATGATACGGCAATTCCTCCAAGAGGAACAAATAAACCGTTCTTTTCGTGCTGTTCGATTAGTTTAGATTGAATTGGGGTAAAAATATATTTAATACATGTAGATTTTGGTCCTATTTTAATAATATTGCTGCTATTTCGCCGTTTAACAAGATGATGTGGTCGTGTATGTGCGCTTTGACACGTCGTAGTTTGCACACAGCCTCGTACCCAGGCGCTTTAAAATATATAACGTTGCATTCAGGTCTTATATAGAGTTCAGCTGAAAAAACGCGAGCGCGTGGGGGTGCTTGGGGAGGTTTTGGCAAATTTAGCCAACAACTTTAAACAATAATTTTCTTGTATGATTGCATGGCGACTTTAGTAATTATAATAACTTGTAGGTACACCACGTAAGTATTAAATACTGCAAAGCTTTCGGTCCGTTAACCCGGACCTTCATCAGTGCAATTACTTGAATACACGTTTGCGCGTCACCACAGTTTAATGATATACAGTTATGGAACTCGCGGCGGAACCCTTTGATGTTGCTGTCCCCCTGCCTACGCCATTCCACGCGCCACGCAAATTGCTCTGGCAAGTGTATTTTGACTCTGAAGTAAGGGAAAAAGGTGTTCGAAAGACGAAAAATGTTAATATTTTAAAGCTGGCTCTATCGATCTCCATTTTTGCGCCTAAATTTTAAAAACAAACGGTAAATGGTTGTTTTTTTGTAAAAAATATATGCGTTAGGTTAAAGAAGTAAGAAATACAAGCCCGAATGATTTTCTTTATAAATATCAAGTTGATTGCCAACATCGTCGCCGATTATAAATTAGGCAGTTATTTTTCCATCCAGAAAACATCTGAGCTGATCTTAAACAAGCATGATTGATGTGTCATTTCTACAATTCAAACACACGAAAAAATTTCTTTGAAAATAATTTATTTTGCCATAAAACTAGCAAAAACTACATCTTTTTTATTCGAATCCTGAACTTGAATTCAAAGGATTTACAATAAACAAATACAACTTTTACCTATATAATATACAATACTTTTTACGAGTATAAATCCAACTTCACACAAATGGTAAATGCTAACAGATATTAATTTCAGTTCATACATGATTGTAATATTCATGAAGGACATGCAAATCAATTTCCAATCTAATCTATGCAATTCTGTGTGGCTTCTATGAGAAGATTGAAAGCTATTTTCCAATTTTTAGATGTGAATATAATGAAAAATATAAATTTTTTGCTCTGAAACTATAATATGGTGATGAACTCAATGTGTCCTAACCTTCCCTTAATCCCTTTTACATTTTCCATTGCATGGATAGATTCAAAAACAAGGCTTTTTGTTGAGATTAATTACATGAATGAATTTAGACCAAGCCTATATAATTTGAGCAGTTAATGCATAAGAATGGTAATATAAAAGCTTACCTATATATGAATAACATAAATTTCTTATACTAATATGCAAGCTATAATTCTATAACCATTGTCTAACCTTGCTGCTGCTGCTGCTGCTAGATAATTCAGTACTAGAATTTCCATTGGTGCCAGCCCAAAGAGGGCCGAAGAGTCCAAAGTGAAATAATAATACACATAGGAGATATAATAGGGTTCATAAATATCAGTAAACTGCGTATACGTTGTAAACTTTTTTAATAGCATCTAACTTGCTATCTTCTTGAACAGTAGAAGTCATGTCTGATATGTCGTCTGCTCAAAAGTTAACTGACTTTGAGAAGATTGTTTCGCCATCTGAAAAAAATACGACTGCATGTTGGCGAAATATTAGTCAGATAGACCTACATTTATTAGATGAAATACAAAACTTTGAATTTTTACCTGGCAGTTCTAGAAGCTTCGTGTGAAAATCGCACTCCTCGTAGTTGTATTTCCCGTTTTTTCCCGTTTTAATTCGTATTATCGCAGTCATTTTTAATCCAAAAGGAGCAATGTCGGATGGATAAATAAAATTTGTCAAAAAAACGAAGAGCAAAAGATCCTTGGCTTTAAAATTGCATTTTTTCTGCTAAAAAATCGAATTTTCCTTATTAAAAAGTTCAAAAACACTTGCCAGAGCCTAGCGCATGCGCATTAAAAACAGGGGGACAAGATTTGCCGCGAGTTCCACCTCTGTGTAGTACTCTGTGGCGTCACTTAAATATCATGTTAGTCGTGATTAGTTTGCTCGCGCTATTAATTAAACGGTTTCATTTAATTAAGTTCTAATTAATGCGCGCGCCCCAGACAAGTATTTGACTAAGAGACACCGAAAAGAGCACGCCACGTACTATTAAGTGGCTTTCATTAAAATTTACTATTAAAATTACTATTAAGATTATATATTAGTCGAAAAATATATTATAAAAAATATATTATTATATATTATTATATATTATTATATATTATTATTATATATTATTATATATTATATATTATAAAAAATATATTATTATATATTATTATATATTATTATATATTATATATTATATATTATATAAAAAATATATTATTATATATTAGTCGCAAATTAAGATTATAATTATATTATTATTATTATTATTAAAATTACTATTAAGTGGCTTTTATTGAAATTTATAAACATCAAACTATCGTCCAAGAGGGAAAGCCACTTAATAGTACGTGGCGTGCTCTTTTCGGTGTCTCTTAGTCAAATACTTGTCTGGGGCGCGCGCATTAATTAGAACTTAATTAAATGAAACCGTTTAATTAATAGCGCGAGCAAACTAATCACGACTAACATGATATTTAAGTGACGCGCAAACGTGTATTCAAGTAATTGCACTGATGAAGGTCCGGGTTAACGGACCGAAAGCTTTGCAGTATTTAATACTTACGTGGTGTACCTACAAGTTATTATAATAACTTTAAACAAATTTAAAAACAACCTCCCCAAGCACCCCCGCGCGCTTGCGTTTTTTCAGCTCAACTCTATATAGGACCTGAATGCAACGTTATATATTTTAAAGCGCCTGGGTACGAGGCTGGTTTGCACAGTATTGAAGATTTAATATAATTCGCGAATTCCAAAGGCAAAGTGTGAGACAAAGCGAATGTATCCTTTTTCTAGAACTTCTATACTTTTTAAAGTACGATGTGCTTCTGAATTACGCGATCGAACAACATTTATGTTCGCAAGGCATCTAAATGCGAATATGAACTGTATTGTTTATGTTTGAAAACGACGCAAAAATTGCACGATGCCGGTACAAAATTATAATTGTTTGCCATGTGGCATTTCTTCTCCAATATTAATAAGATTTTAAACCAGAATATCGCAGAAAACATGACACCGAAAAGAGCTAGTAGAGAGAGAACACCGAAGGCCGCCAGATCAGAGTAATTTTACATGGAGTGGATTAATTACTAACATGGATAGTTAAAAGACATGCATGCCAGCATGGATTGTGATTTTATTATCCATGTTACTAATAAGAAATTTAAGCCCCGTGGCTTCTGGTTTGTAACAGTTTTTTATATTTCAAAATTGAAATACCCATTTTAGCCGTGCCAATAAATTGAGTGTAGTGTAAACGGGGCTTTGGTCATAATCTTACCATTCTTCCAGGACAGGAAAGATTTCCCGCTTGGCTGTATACACACTAAACAGCTATGTTGTTAAAATTATCAAAATTATATTAATGAAAAGAGCTGCACACAAGCATCCAAATCGGATGAAATGTATTCCTCTCATCTATCCGTCGTAAAAATTAACGGCACACGTGTCCCGTTTTCGTACTTCGCCGTTAAGGTCTACGTTTTCATTTTGTGCCGTTTCCGTTTCAATTTTTGGCAATATTGTGTAAACGCAAGGCCGAAACGGCATAATTTAATACCGTTTTCAAATGAAAACGGCATCGTGTAAACAGTAAACGGGTCTTAAAATTGCGACAAGTACGAGTGTGGGAATGAGGGACGTATAGAGGCTCTTTCTTAACTGTAACTTACAGTAATTGTAAATTGAATTGGAAATTAGGCGCTATAACTTTTCAGCCCGGGCTGCAACTTGCGCATGTAATTGAAAAATACATTTGGCCTGGTTTGCCGGTGTCCCAGCGGATTTGGACCCCCTAAAAATGAATTTAGATCACACTAAACTGAACTTAGATCACACTAAACTGATTGTAAATTGTTATATTGTTTTAGGTAATAAATATCAATATATATTATTTATGACTATGTGTAAATATTTACTATTGCCTAAATTTTCAAACTTCGGGTTAATCATGCGCAAAATGCTATAATTAAGCTCAGCACATGAAAAGCACGATGTTTGAAACGAGCGGCTTATAATTTTATCTGAATTTTGGGGGTCCAAATCCGCGGAGGGGGGTACGTATCCGCTAGCGGATATGGACCGGGGGCGTCCAAATCAGCTAGCGGATATGGACCGGGGGTCCATATCCGCAGGGGGTCCAAATCCGCTGTGACACCAGACTGAAAAGACACCATGTAATCAGCCCCTTAGTATAATAGAGTTTGGTATAATAGGTGCAGTCGTTAAGTTTTGATCGAGACACAGAATTTGCGTACAGACGTTTAATTTTGATCGCGCAGAAAAAGCCTGCAGTCGTTAAGCTTCGATCAAGTTAACAGAATATGCTTTCAGTCGTTTAATTTTGACCGTGTACACAAACTATTCGTGCAGTGCCGTTTATCTTCGATCGAGTATACAGAATATGCGTACATTCGTTTAGTTTTGATCGGGTATACAGAAGTATACGTGCAGTGACAGTGTCGTTTAACTTTGATCGAGTGCACAGAATATGCGTGTGGTTTAGCTTTGGTCGGGTACGCTAAGAAAGCGTGCAAATACAAGATACCTGGAACCTGGGTGCGCATATTAACACGCACTACTAATCATTACACTTTTTGTTAACGTAACGTGTCGGCCAGAAAACAGTCCTCACCCGTAGCTGATGTTAAGCACAAAGAAGCTGGAAGTCCAATGAGCCCCTAAACGCCAATAGATGGTAACAAATATTTGCATGCATACATGCGACCGCGCGATTTATTTCGATTGGCCAAAATTAAGATTTAAGAGAGCGTGAAAAAAAACTGACCGAATTTAAAAAATGCATATCAATTTTTTAAAACTGTTAAGAGCAAAGTTTGAATTTCTTTCTAATGCTGTTGACATGTACAATCAATGCAAAGAGCCCCCTTGAAAGTCTGGCTATAAACCCCTGCAGGAGAATCTTTTCCCAACTAGAAAAACAATCAACGGTTCTATTTTAGGTCAGGCTTGCAACATTACAAGCCCAAAAGACGACTATGATATAAGTGTTCAAGTCGGATCAAACTTTACTATCAACATTGCATATACATGCGCACCACTTGAGGAAATGGAAAGTATGGATTGGTATTTTTCAATTTATCCTAATGGATATAAGATAAAGTTGAACTTGCTGGGTTGCATAAATTGTACCAAATGGTATATGATCATTCCATGGATTTCGTTGCTACTGGTTCGTTCGGGAATAGTGGCAGGTTTACATTTAGTGTATATAACGCTACGCTAACTTCCAATGGCACATTTTTTGCTCTGTTGTACAAAAAATCAGACGTTGGACAACCTCCTACACAGATTCTGAGAGTAGTTGTCATTATCAAAGGTAATCAAAATTACGAATTAGAAGCTCTTCAGTCTTCTAATTCACGTTGCTCATATTCGGCAAATTTTCTCTCAGCATATATACAGAGGGCTCAGTTCTCCAGCGGTCTTCGCATCAAAAATTAAAAACTTTTCGTTTTATAAAATATTAAACAGGGACTGCGGTGCAGTTTTTTGTTTGGGGGGGGGGGCTAGCGAAGCCGAAAGAGTGAATTCTCGGGGGGGTGTCCATACTTATCTATTTTATTTTTCTTGTAAACACTTCAATAAAAACATTGTTCACCGACACGGATAGTGAAAACATAATTATGATTACACAGCTTACTTTAAGGAGTTTTTATTCGTATTATTATGGCCATATAAAATCGCTATAAAGGAATCACGTGTATTTAGAAAATTGGGGGCTAAAGCCCCCCAGCCCCCCCCCCTCCGCGGTCCCTGTGCACTGCTCTCAATTTTATATAAGTTGTCCGTTAACAATATGAGCCTGTACGAGTGGAAGAAATTTTAGCTAATTTGGAGCAGCGCGATTTGCTGGAATTACTGCTAGAAGCTTAATTAGGGAGTGGGGCGAATATTAATATATTTGTCCTAAAACCGACTCGTTTTGACTGACATCCTTTGTGTGACACGCTAGTTTGAACATGAATATACGAGTATTCTCCCTCTCCCTCAATTGAGCTTCTAGCTACGACCCTGATTACTGGCAAGTTCCCTATAAATTCAAAATTTTCAAACAAATCAAACAATCTCGCGCCCAAACGCTTGTCCGAGGCGCATGTGCCAAAAGTAGTGCCAAAAAGCGGGTTGGGTTTCATTTTTTTCGCCCTTCTCAAATACACTTAACTTTGTAGGAATAAATTATCTTAAAACATCACAATATCTAAAATTTATATCATTTTGATTATATGTTACAGAAACCGCTCTGCAACCGACCGAGAAATTTATTCCTCAAACAACGAGGGGTGAGTTATCTTATTATAACAAGATTTTGACCTAATTTTGTCGCTTTCGAGTATTTTTTAAACAAGTTTATTAGTGAGGAAAGTTAACATTATTACATATTACATATCATTACAACGTTAACTTTCTGTAAACAAGGAAAAATGCTGCAATTTTATTATAGAAATGATTGTAGTATTATTACAACCGCCTAATCAACATTCAGGATGGGAACAACGACCATTGCTTTCTTTTTTTCTCTCTGGGGGTGAAACTATACGGTTTGAAATACAGATTGTACTAAAATATGTTTTTCCGACGAAAATAACTAACTTTGCATTCAGCAAAACGTATGGTAAGCAGGATTATTAAGGCAATAACTTTAAATCAAGTGTTGATATATACGATTGTCTTAACCTGGCTATTGTACTCAGTTTCCAACCTAAAATAATTTTGTTTTATCTCGCAGGTATTATAACGTCAATTTCAAAACGTACTGAACCTACCACAAAAATCATAAGAATAAATCAATCTACAACGATAGTAAATCGACCTACAACAAAAGTAAATCAACCTAGAACGAAAGTAAATCAACCTACAGCGACAGCAAATATACCTACAACGACAGCAAATCTACCTACAACGACAGCAAATCTACCTACAACGACAGCAAATCTACCTACAACGACAGCAATATACCTACAACGACAGCAAATATACCTACAACGAAGCAAATCTACCTACAACGACAGCAAATCTACCTACAACGACAGCAAATCTACCTACAACGACAGCAAATATACCTACAACGACAGCAAATCTACCTACAACGACAGCAAATCTACCTACAACGACAGCAAATCTACCTACAACGACAGCAAATATACCTACAACGACAGCAAATCTACCTACAGCGACAGCAAATCTACCTACAACGACAGCAATCTACCTACAACGACAGCAAATATACCTACAACGACAGCAAATATACCTACAACGACAGCAAATCTACCTACAACGACAAATCTACCTACAACGACAGCAAATATACCTACAACGACAGCAAATCTACCTACAGCGACAGCAAATCTACCTACAACGACAGCAAATCTACCTACAACGACAGCAAATAACCTACAACGACAGCAAATATACCTACAACGACAGCAAATCTACCTACAGCGACAGCAAATCTACCTACAACGACAGCAAATCTACCTACAACGACAGCAAATATACCTACAACGACAGCAAATATACCTACAACGACAGCAAATCTACCTACAGCGACAGCAAATCTACCTACAACGACAGCAAATCTACCTACAACGACAGCAAATATACCTACAACGACAGCAAATATACCTACAACGACAGCAAATCAACCTACAACGACAGCAAATCTACCTACAACGACAGCAAATCTACCTACAACGACAGCAAATATACCTACAACGACAGCAAATATACCTACACGACAGCAAATCAACCTACAACGACAGCAAATCTACCTACAACGACAGCAAATCTACCTACAACGACAGCAAAATATACCTACAACGACAGCAAATCTACCTACAACGACAGCAAATCTACCTACAACGACAGCAAATCTACCTACAACGACAGCAAATCTACCTACAACGACAGCAAATCTACCTACAACGATAGTAAATCTACCTACAACGAAAGTAAATCGACCTACAACGAAAGTAAATCAATCTACAACGAAAGTAAATCTACCTACAACGACAGTAAATCTACCTACAACGAAAGTAAATCGATCTACAACGAAAGTAAATCTACCTACAACGAAAGTAAATCAACCTACAACGAAAGTAAATCTACCTACAACGAAGTAAATCAACCTACAACGAAAGTAAATCTACCTACAACGAAAGTAAATCTACCTACAACGAAAGTAAATCGATCTACAACGAAAGTAAATCTACCTACAACGAAAGTAAATCTACCTACAACGAAAGTAAATCTACCTACAACGAAAGTAATCTACCTACAACGAAAGTACATCGACCTACAACAAAAGTAAATCAACCTACAACCGAAGTACATCGACGTACAACAGAAGCAAAACAAGCAAAACGAAATGAATCAACAACAATAGTCATAGGTATAACTTCGATCATTACTTACAGTATCTCAAAGGATATGTTGCTAATTGACTGAACCATTTTTAGGGACCGTTTAATAAATCATTCTAATGGGATAGGGGCGGTAAAAAATGTGGGAGTCATACGACTTTTGAAAATGTGCATGTTCGGGGAACAATATATAAGAATTTTACATTGTGAAGAGATGGGATCATTATAAATTTCTGGCACAGTTAACATTTTGCACCTTCCACAACCAAGATATCAAAGAGTAGATTACGTCAGTACACCTTACCGATTATTGCATTTTACTCGATAACCTTGTTGCCATGCATGTGATTTATATTTTGTGAAAATAGGAATGTATATGCGTTACTACGTTCAGTTACTTTAAAGATCAAAGAAAATCAAATGTAATGTAATGTCTTTCCAAAACAAAAACATGGGCCTGGGGTCAGTTGTTTAAAAGACTATAGTTAACAGAATTGCCCAATCAGAGTCGTGTATTTCTGAGTTAACTCGGATTTCCCTATGGGAAATGTAGTTAAGGCGGTTCACTACAAAAAATCATGATTTATTCTGTTTTAAAAATTTACGAAGAACGCGAAGTATAAATAAAATAATTTAAATAACAATAGCCTGTTAAAGTTCCCTTTCATACCATGCAAGTACCCCTGTACAATATTGTCAAGTCTGGATCTTAAAATTTTTTGCTTTTCTTAATAGGGGTGGTGTTGATATTTAATAGGGGGTTGTACGGTTTTGCATGTTTAGATGTATTCAAGGTTTTGTGCCCATTCCACCATGTATTTACTATTTAGTGAACGTTTCTTACGAATTTAAAGATAAAGTACCCATCCAATATTCTTCGGATCTTAAGAGGGTAGATTATTTATTTAGAAGGACAAATTGATAACCCATATATTACGTAATGTTTGGAAACAATGGTAAAACTGAGTGGTACCAGGTGTGAAGTGACGTTGCCGATAATAAACGACCCGATCTGAACTGGTTGCATCAACTTTAATTTTTCGATTCATTATTTATAGGATTCTCGCATGGTATCAGTTGGTGGGCAGTTTTGCTGTTATCATGTCTTATTTCACTGTTATCTTCGCTGTTGTTCTATTCAGCCGCTATATTGGTAGGTAAAGTTAGACAAGCACATCCCAACTACACAATCAGAGATATACTGATAGAACAGTTTTGAGTTGGTACTGAATGCAATATTGATCTATCGGATCTATCCACATGATCTACACAGATCTATGCAGTTGGTAATAATATAAGGTTTCAGATATATAGAGGGAGTAATGCGTGTCCATTATAGCAAAGCGGTTAAAACTATTAATAAAAATATAAAAAGCGATCAATTATTTGCTTTTTAGATAATTGTTTATTTAAAACACAATGGTCATAGTTTGAATCGTTACTGAAAATGTAAACAAACTTGATGATTGGTCTAATATAAAACGAAAATCTCCCCTTGTTTATAAGTGCAGTGCAGCAAATTATATACCACCGTAATGCCCAGAAATTATTTATTTTATTAAACGACGCAACTTTAGATTAAGGTGGCTACCTATAGAGTTTTTGCGAAGTCAGTACTTTATAATATGTTTATACGCAAACATACTGCGAGAAAAAGTACTCTTTCACAGTTCGCACAAGGTTTTAACT